CCATAACATTGATAGAATTGACAATGATAGCCAAATTCAGTTGGATAACACCGATAATTTTAAGATTTTGAGTCTTTACTTCAAACATTAAGACTTTGGTTGTTTGAATAACTAATATTTGAATGTCATTTTTCAGATTCAGTGTCCAAGTTAATTTATGGTTTAAGACCATTTTAATTATTTATTCGCTTGTATGGTTATATAATATTATTTTTGGCATTAAAAGTAAATTGCTCGAATAGCTTACGCAATGCGCTACGCTATTTACGCTACACAATGTAAGGACCAAAACGTGACGCATTGAGCGATGCGCGTTTTAAAACACTGATTTTGAAACATTGCCTTTATGTTCCTAGTTTTAAAAAGAATCATGTTTCAGTTTCTAAACTTGTTATGGATGGTTTTTCATTTACGTTTGATGATATGCTTATTATTCGTTATGGAAAACGTTTCATTTGTTCTGGTTCATTAGTTGACAATTTATATGTTCTTAAACCAAACTCTCCCACACTGCAACAACCTGAATTGATTAATATCGTGACTAAATCTAATAAGAGGAATGAATCTTCGAAGATGAATCAAGCATATCTTTGGCATCTTAGACATGGGCACATCAACCTTAGGAGGATTCAAAAGTTAGTGGCCAGTGGACACCTTGGTCTATTGGAAGAGCACTATTCAACTTGTGAATCATGCCTGGAAGGTAAGATGGCCAAGAGGCCGTTTACGACAAAAGGGTATAGGAGCCAAGAAGTGCTAGGATTGATTCATTCTTATTTATGTGGTCCTATGTCGATCCAGGCTAGATGAGGTTTCGAGTACTTTGTCTCATTTATTGATGATTACTCGAGATTTGGGTACATTTATCTGTTGCACCACAAGTCCAAATGCTTTGAGAAATTCAAGGAGTATCGGGTAGTTGTGGAGAAGCTTCATGGTAAAAGTATCAAGTCACTTTGGTCTGATCAAGGTGGCGAATATCTCTTTGGAGAGTTCAGGACATAATTGTCCGAAGCTTGGATTGAATCCAATTGACTGCACCCGGCACGCCCCAGCAGAACGGGGTTGCAGAGCGAAGAAATAGGACTCTTATGGAAATGGTTAGGTAATGATGAGTTATTTAAGGTTACCAGATTCGTTCTGGGGTATGGCGTTGGAAACGACAGTGTATATTCTGAACATGGTTCCTTCGAAGTCGGTTGAGACTACTCCTTATGAGAAGAGGAAAGGGCACAAGCCCAGTTTCTCACAGTTTCGAATATGGGGTAGCCCAAAGCCACTTCAGGTGGGGCCTAGGCCCCACCTGAAATTTTAGGTTTTTTTTATAATATATATTGTTAAGAAAATAAGTATAAATTATGTAACTTTACAAAAATAATCTATAAATAAAGTTGTTTATTAATTAATTGGTTTTTTCCTCTTTTTCTCTTACTAAAATTTTCTTATTGCAATCTCTTATTTATTTGTTGTATCTCTAAATAAATTTATCATGACGTTGCTACTATAATAATTATAATAAATTTATCAACTAAAAGATGAAATTATAATAAATTCTTTGATATAACATATTGAAAAATATTATCTCTCCTACCCCCCGCGAGTTTTAAACATTTAAAAGATTGACATAATGTGATTGCTTAATCATGATATCTTGACGTATATACCACTTAACGTGTTTTCAGTTGATAGATGAATAATTTAATTTGTATTGATAATAACACATTTTAAGTCATTAGAATTGATAATAATACTGAAATATACAAATTGTAGGGTGTTTTAATATTTTATTTTAAATTATTTAAAAAATAAATTTATATGTAATGGTAATTTTGTATGTCTCATCTTGTGCCATTTTTTTTTCGTTTTTTCAGTTCCACAGAATTTTGGCCCCACCTCACTCAATTTGCTAGATCCGTCCCTGTGTTAGTGCAGTAAACTAGCATGTTGAAGAAATGTTCGGAATCACGAGTGTTCGTTGGCTATCCCAAGGGAACGAAAGATGGATTATTTTATAGTCCTGAGGATCAGAAGGTCATCGTTAGCATGAACGCTAGATTCTTGGAAGAAGGCTATATTATAAATCACAAGCCCGCGAGTAGACTAGTCTTAGATGAGTTAAGGGGTGAGGACGTTAGTTCCCCACCGAGTGCGCAAGTAGATACATCACATAATACTGCAACACGGCACACTGAGAGTGTACCAGTGCAGGCAGTACCTCGTCGTAGTGGGAGGGTTTCTCTATTACCCGACCGATGGATAGGTCTTGGAAAGTCTTCGGGCTCAGTTCTAGGAAACCTAAAATCGGACCCAAGGACCTACAACGAGGCACTCCAAGATAAAAATGAAGACTCATAGAATGTTGCAATGAATGCTGAAATGGGGTCAATAAACTCCAATCAGGTTTGGGATCTCGTATAACCACCCGATAGGGTACGACCCATTGGATGCAAGTGGATCTGTAAGAGAAAGAGAGGATCAGATGGAGAGGTGCACACCTTCAAAGCTAGGCTTGTTGCGAAAGGTTATACCTAGATTGAGAGTATAGACTATGATGAGACCTTTTCCCCAGTAGCTATGCTTAAGTCCATTCGGATTCTCTTGGCTGTAGCCGCTCATATGGATTATGAAGTCTGGCAAATAGATGTCAAGACGACTTTCCTTAACGGAAACCTTCATGAGACATCTATATGTTGCAACTAGAGAGATTCATTGTTAAAGGACGTGAGCATCTAGTGTGTAAGCTTAATCGGTCTATCTATGGACTGAAGCAAGCTTCAAGATCTTGGTACATTCGGTTCGATAAGGTGATCTAGTCGTACGGGTTCACTCAATGTCCGGATGAACACTGAGTGTACAAGAAAAACAGTGGGAGCGTGGTGGTGTTTCTTATGCTTTACGTAGATGACATACTTCTTATTGAAAACAACAAGAAGGAGTTCTCAGACGTAAATGTGTGGTTGTCTAAGCAGTTTGATATGAAGGACTTAGGTGAAACAGGACATATTCTTGGTATTAGGGTCGTTCGAGACCGTAAGAAGAGAATGTTATGCTTATCCCAGTCTTCATACATAGATACTGTCTTGGCTAGGTTCAGCATGCAAGATTTCAAGAAAGGTATCTTACCTTTCAGGAAAGGAATACCTCTCTCTAAGGAGATGTCTCCTAAGACGTCTCAAGATATAGAGGACATGAAGACAGTTCCTTATGCTTCGGCAGTAGGAAATCTCATGTATACTATGTTGTGTACTAGGCCAGATATCAGCTACACCGTTGGCTTAGTAGCTAGATATCAAAATAACCCGAGTATGGAACATTGGTCTGCAGTGAAGCATATACTCAAGTACCTGAGAAGGACTAAGGAGTACATATTAATTTATCGTGCAGACAGTTGTTACCTCCGGGTTACAGTGATTCTGATTTCCAGTCAGATAGAGAAGAACGTAAGTCAACCTCGGGTTAGGTGTTTACGTTGGGAGGTAGAGCCATTTAATGGAGGAGTGCTAAGCAGAAATGCGTGGCAGACTGCACCATAGAATTCGAGTACATAGCAGCAGGCAGCGAAAGAGGCAGTTTGGCTCAGAAACTTCTTAATTGACTTAGATGTGATTCTGAGTTTGCCACGTGGTATCACCGTGTACTGTGATAACAGTGGAGCAGTAGCAGACTCAAGGGAACCGCGAGCCCACAGAGAAAGCAAACACATAGAGTGCAAGTACCATCTATCTCTGAGATAGTTGGTAGAGGAGATGTTGATGTTGACAAGATTGCATCAGATGAACCTAGCTGATCCCTTCACGAAGAGTTTTTCGGAGAAGGTCTTCATCAAACACATGATAGGAATGCGAGTCAAATGCATGGCGCTAGGATCGACATAGGTCTTTTAGAATAACATATTGATAGAATTATACTTGTAAAAGCGAAAGCTTTAAGTATAAGTGGGAGATTGTTAGTGTTATATACTGAAAGCTTGGCTTTGGATGATATTACACTTTTACCCTTTATGAATGAGAAACATGTTAGATTAAACAAATTCTATGTTCTGTTGTTTTGCATTAGATAGTGTGGGTCGTCATCGGGAAAACCGAAGATCATACTATCAGTTACTCGCGAAACAAGAATTAATGGTTCACAACCTAGATGGACATGAACACCCCATCAGAACGGTTGTAATGTCAACTGTACAGTTTGTCTTGACTGATTAGTTGCACTATGCCTCGGTTAGTTACTGCGTCATAAATGAACTAGGCCTCGGTTAATTACTGCGTGCTCTTAACCCGTAAGATATTAAACAAACATATATATATGTAGTATTTATTACTTTGATTCATATGGGTGAGGTTTAGTGAACTGGACCAATAGACCCTTTGTCTTGGGTAATATTGCTACATGTATGATGTGTTGTTATGATATTTACGGTCACCATGTAACTTTAGTTTGATGATGTCCCCAGAGTGAGTTCATGAAGGATTATTATGCTAAACCCTGCAGGTGAATTATATTCCGACATAGTAATAATGTGATGAACGAGCGCTAGCTTTGGTGAAATAATAATAAATTAATTAATTCTTGATTGTCAGTAATCGATTTAATTAATGGACATTATATCTTAAACATGGGGAGGTAATTCGAGTAATTATAATAGAAGTCTCAATTGTAAATTAGGCTAGGAAAATGAAGTGCAATAATATTATGTTGGTGGTCCATTAATATTATTTAATTAATTAGAATAAGTGGGCTGACCTTTAAGTATTTTAATTAATTAAGAAGCCATATTCTTAATCTCTTAAGGGTCCCTACTGTAGCTCTATATATACATCATTAAGCTCATAGGAAGAGAAGAAGAATCTCATAATTACACGCCAAAGCCGCCGCCATTCTCGTTCGAGCTTTATCTTCTTCTTGTTGTTCCATCGGTACAAGTTGAAGAGGGTGTTTGAGATATACAGTAGAAAATCCATAGATGCTCGATACCCCGTGATCATCTACACGAAGTCGACAATCTACGAGCCCGAGCCCGAGCCCGAGGACCGCCAACCGCGACCAGCCGAGCCAGTCGGACCAGCCGCGACGCCAATCGGAGGACCGCCGCGACCAGGCCAGCTTCGCTGTGACGCCCGGACCCGCGACTGTTTTGTACAAATTATTATTATTTTTACCGAGCACCGAATTAAATGATTCGTTTCCCGGGTCGATCTCTCGAGGAAGACTGTTCGGAATTTAATAATGGTGTTGATAAGACATAAAATAAAAATAAAGCTTAAACACTGTAATCAATATGATAGGATGAATATTAACTAAGATAGAAATTAAGAAATAACATAAAATAATAATCTAGCTAAAAATATAAATGAGACAATGATAAAGAAGCTAGGGAATCGGGAATAAATCACTTCCGGTTTTACACTCATTCAACGACAATCAATAACTCGGTTAAGCATTTCAACTAACTAACCCATTTAGCGGTTCAACCATACTAACTCTCGTAATATATGGAAAAACATAAATGAGCAAATTAACGAAATAATTAACACATAGACAATACGTCTCCGAACATGTCTATTCTAAATGAGCCAAGTTCTATCAATTTCTCCCCTCTCGGTTATGAAATCGATTATTTTTACAACTCCTCCCCTCTCGGTTCTACAAGTCGTAATTCACAAAATTAACAAACTTTAACTTAGCAAATCAATATCAAGCACAAATCAGAGTGTCACTCTTTGATTATATCATAAAATTAACCTAAGTGTCACTCTTAGGTTATAAAAGTTTACCAAGCTTAATTTATCAATTCATATTTAAAACAACTCGTCTAGATTGAATTATCGACATGCGTATAAACGAGCTTAAACCGGAATGATTATCTCCTACCCCTAGCTAAAAGATTAGCTACATATAATAAATTCAACACAACAAAATATTTCTCCTAAATTAACCATTATGCATGAATTAATTTAAAGAGAGTAAACTTACATAACAATCTTCAAATGTTGAATCCATATACAAGCTTCTCCAAATACAACATACAATAAGAAAAGAAAAATAAAAAGAAAAAGAAAAAAATGAAGAGGGTAAGAACCCCTCTTCTTACTCAAACTTGCATGGGTGAAAGATGGTGGAAAAAAATGATGAATTATGGGTTTATGGATGATAGATATATATAGGGAGAGGTAGATAGTAAGTGGGAGCATGTTGTTCATCAACTTTGTCATGTTTTTAGCTGAAAATTCGGTCCCAAGTCTTCCCCCACTCTTAACCACCATGAAAATAGGTAAGAAAATGATGTTTCAGCAGTTTTTAAGTCAGGTAAGTCGCGACATTTCTCGCGAGTCGCGACTTGACTCGCGACATTGGCAGCTTTGCGCAACTTTACGTTTTCGTCTCGTTTGAGCTCATCCGAACTCGGAATTTAGTTCCGTTTTTTCCTACGCGTCGCTAATGAACTCCTCTATCCAATGATGCTTTCAAACCACACTTTTGCCCAGAGTACAAATTATGTGGAATTTCCAATCTTTAAAGGGTCGGTAACTTGCGCGGCTTCGCGTTTTTGTTCCGTCCAGATTCAACCGAACTCGAAATCACATTCCGGTTTTTCCTATATGTAGCCAATACGTCCATCTACATAACCATGATTTCCATGTCCATGTCTTTCTCTCACGGTGCCTTCGACCTGCACATGAAAAACAAGAAGAAAAAACGGGAAAAACACATGAAAAACACAAAGAAAACCAAAATGGAACAAAACACATAATAAAACACAAAACGAATTAAAAACCAACTAAAAGACCTAAAACGGGAATAAAAGAATGATAAAATAATAACAAAAATCGCAACAAAAATGGTTACAACAGCGACGCCCAGCCTGCGATGCCCAGCTTGCGACCACACGACCCCGCAACACGATTGCTCAGATCCCATCACTCGTTCGTGTTCCCGATGTGTTCGTGTGTTCATCCCGGTCATCCGTTTGAAGATCAACCCGATCGCCATATATTTTAAGCCGTAAGTTTTCTACGTCAAACCTTTAGATCCGCTGCGCATAGATTTACGTTTGCTATTGAATTCGTGATTTGTACATAACGGGATTCTCATAGATCCCAACAGGAACGAGAAAAAAACAAAATTTAAGGTCTACTTTTGTTTATGTTTAGGTCATTAGGTGTCATATAAATCGACCCTAGTTTTAAATTACATGGATAAACCCAACCCAAAACATTTCTAAGTCATTCCCATGCCAACATAAAAAATCAAGTCCAAAACAAACTAAAATATTATTAAATAGAGATTTCAACGGTCAATTAAATTTCGTTTCTTTCTCGTTCCATCACCGCACTGTAAGTTTTTTTCTCACCTTCACTGCCACTTTGAAAGAATTTTAATCTCAAGACTTCAAAGGTATTTATCTTTCGTGTAATATAAACTTCCGTTGTCATTTATCACCACCGCCGAAGGGGATGGAGAGGGAGCACGATTCGTTGGCGTCTTAGGTCAGAGGAGAGGCAACATCGGATACAGTGATGGCGAGGGCGACGAGCAAAGGGGCTTGCGTCGAAGTATTGTTATATTTTTTAATAAAACAAAATGAAATTATCATGCCATTATACATATGTGATCAATATAGCAATTAGACCATCATAGTGATTCTACAATAAATTGATAAAAAATTATCTTCTTTTCTATATGCACATTAAAGTCATTAAATGTTGATTTTGTAATTTGTATCATCCATTTCTGTCTAGTTACAATACACATGGGCCATAGGGCAAAGATATGTAAAAAGAAACTGTTAATGATTTTAAGTTCACACCTTCTTTTGGTTTTGTTGTGAGCTATAAGCGTGGTAGTTCTAGAAAAGCTAAACCATGATTAATAAACCCCTGTGCTTTTGTCATTGCATTTTCTACATTCTACTCTCTTTCTCTCACTTCTTTTTTTATTTATTTTTTTATTTTTTATTTTTTACAATCCTCAAAACATGAGTAAAAATATTTTCACATAATAGAAAATGATATACATATATAGTGGTGGTGATTTAAAACAAATGTGATATGTAAAGTAACAAATACATATTATTTTAACGGTCACAAACCCAAACGGAATGGTTCAGTAACGAGACCGTAACATCTTCTCGTAGGTTTATTTGATCTTTTTGTATCTTCTATTCATTAATGAAAACAATGCATGCTTTTCTGACAAATAAACGAAAATATTAGTTTGAAACTTATGCAGTTTATGAGACACCACTTTTAGTAATGAAGGAAATATGGAAAATTGGTGGAAAAAGAAACTTTGTCACGCCAATTACCTTATAATAACTGGTTTTTACTTTAGATGTCTGCCCATCTTTTTTATTTTTTATTTTATTTTATTTTTTTTTAAAAAATGTTTGATAAAATAATAGATTATTTTTACCTTTGCTTACTATTTACTCAAAAGACTGTACCCACACACCTTTTATTAGTATGAGGGCTACCTATTCCATTTATTTATTTTGTTGGCTTCCTGTAGAAAAAAGGTAAGCTAATCATGGGTATAATATTTATTATTATTATTATTATTATTATTATTATTATAATATTGAACATTTTTCATGAATACCTTAATAAAAATTTCGTGTTATGTATAAGCCAAATAAGATAATTCAAATATCCAGTATAAGGAGACCACAAAAATTCTACGGAACCCTCAGATGGTTTTCTTATGGAGTCATCCATCACTTAATGTATTGACACGTATCCAAATTGTATTTATTGCAGAACACGTGTCAATATACTATTGGTAAATAAGTGTAGATGGTTCCATAAATCGTATCATCCGATGACAGCACAGCAAAACTGATAAACACCATATGCATTATTCGATATTTCTAACCAAAATTCTCAACTTGTCCACTCTCAAATCCTATCACGTAAAACGCCAAAATTCATGAGAAACACGTTTTGCGTTGAACTTCTTCCTCCGAAACGCGTTTTTCTTCTCTTCAGCTATGCGAGTCTCACATAATTGAAAGTTCATTCTTAGCAACCAAAAATAAGGTTAAAATAAAAAAGCCATTAATTCTTAAATTTCATATCACCGACTAAATTATAAAATAAAAATTTGACATATATATATATATATAACAACGTTTTAAATAAATAAATAAATCTTTGTCTGATGCATTTAAAATGACTCATGTTACTGGTGGCAACAAACCCAACCAAACCACTGTCAATTAAAAATTTATCAACCCATGTAATTTTAAAAACAGGAAATGCTACATCAGAAAATCATTCCGTCGGGATTTATAACCAGTATATCATCATGTAACCGTCGTGGATAGCTGATCTAATGGTTGCAAACCCCGACGGAATGATTTCATAACGGGACCATAACATCTCCCTTTAAAAACATCCAAGATCTGGAAGTTAGTTTACTGCTCTTAAGTTAATGAGATTTTTGAACATGGAAAAAAATAGGAGAGAAAAAAAAAAATATCAAGTTAAGATGTATCATTGCAGGAAGCATAAGGAATCTGCAAGGACAAAACCATTATTTGCACTTTGGCAGCAGCTAGAGAAGATGGTCCCTTATGAGAGTGACATATTATTATCCTCATAAAATTTTTGTGCAATACATCTCTCAAATTATTGGGAAATGCTATGGTCCCGTTACGTTACCATCCAGTCGAGTGTTTTAACCGTTGGATACACATGTAGTTAGTATCCAACGGTTAAAACACCCGACTGGATGGTACCGTAACGGGACCGTAACAATTCCCCAAATTATTTATGCAATGAGGCATTCTTTTGTCCAGTGAATTTTAACATTTATCCAACTCTTTTTTCACTGTATATATATTGTACTTTACAAGTATGACTGAGTGTTGACTGTCAAAATTATGGTTTACCATCATCATTACATTTCATATCTTTACAGCCACTCTTCAAAATCCTTCTTTTCCTTTCAGCAAATTTTTCCTCATAATTGTTGTCTAACCAAAAGCAGATCCTATAAATGAAAGGATATTCAAGCAATGTGCAATAATAGTGAAGAGCAAATAATTGTGCAGTGGCATCTTAGGGACAGTTGCACAAAAATTATATTGATAAATGGTCCCTCCCTACAGGCCTACACAGGGGGTTAAAAGAAAACAAACTTCTTTGAAGGTCACAGAACCAAATTTGTATTTTTATGTACAGAAAAATTCTAATCCCAGGCCCAGCTAAATTTGTATCTGTCACTGCTAACTTCCATGGCAAATAATGTCATACATTCAACTTCTAATCTGACTCTAAATAGATACCAGTTATTCGGTAAACACGATAAACAAAAGGGGTCGAATCATAACCCAATGAAATGGAGCGTAACATATATTCGTCAATAATGTGACACGAGAAAGAAACTAAAAATTATATTCAAGCAGACAAACAAGCTGTTCCCTGTAAAGCAAACTATATTGGTGACTACTTAGTATACATATCTTAATATCATGTGATAAACAAGCGGGCAGCAACCCAACGAGATTCCAAATTTCTAAAGTACAATCATGGATTTCGCTGCAAAGAAGAAATATAGACAGTTGAAAGAAATTGGAAATGTACTCACAACACAATGGCATGAGCCTCGAACCAATAAGACTCCGCAAATTTATCATGAAATTACCGAGAGAGAATAAACCTCGCTCTCGGTATTATCAGTCTTGATTTCCAGAAGAGACTCAATAATTTCGCGGCAGATTGGGCACTTGTTTGACTGAAGCCTCAGTGTCTTTGCACAGTTGCTGCACATACACTGGAATGAAGAATCATTCAATTAAATGATTAAGTGATAGTTACAAAGACGACGAAGAAGATGAACAAACAACATTTTTTTTTTTTTTACTTAAGACGAGGCATTCACCACCAGGATTCTATAATTTGAAATACAGTCAAATCAAATCAGCCAACATATTTTACATAGTTCTCGTCGTTTTTGGAAAAAGTCCACCCTGCAACAGTAATTTGAAATCTATCCTTTCATCCGCTATCTATAGAATTACACACTCTTATGTACTATCCTTCTGACACTACACGCACATTTCACAAACAAAAAAATACATGCTACACATTTCATGCAATACCCACACACTACTCATTTTACACAACACAGTCGCACACACACAAACACAAGCACACTGCATACTGAAGGTTCCAAGTTTGTGATTGAATGTCCTTGTAAGTAAAATCTGAACCCACAAGTCTTAAACCAGAAGCTAAAAAAATGTATCAAGAATAATATTTTATTAACTTGGGGAAATAAGAAAAAAAAAAAGGAAGAAACAGAAAAAGGAACGACTACCATTCTCAACCAAGATCACTTCTTTTACCCACCCACAAAAAAAAAATAAATAAATAAATATATAAATAAATAAATAATAATAATAATGATAATAATAATAATAGGGAAAGAAACAACATAAAAAGGAACCTTGTATTAAGGATGAAAGGAAATTATTATGATATCCCATCAGCAACTGCTGACTACTTCATATTTTCATTAGAGCAAATGGCTAAATAGCTAAACAGACCAGATAGCTAAGAATATTATGTGAGGCAAAAGTAAAAAATACAAAGCCAATATAGAGCTGAGCATCCGAAACTACTTTTCTTTTACTTTCAAATAATATATCCATTGCAGTAATGGAACAAGCCTTAGAAACATGCACCACACCAAACAAGAATATTATGGAGTTCTACGAGAAGAAAAACATGCATTGCAATTTACATTACATTTTACTGTTTGACAGACCACAAAAGTATCCTTGCTATCTGATCATAATTAAATAAATAAAAATGAGTGTTCTCTTACCATATGTCTGCAAGGAAGCAAAGCTGT